CTGTCACACAGCGCACTTGAGCTGGTGTTGACTCATGGAATGGAATGGATGCTGCTCTATCCTTCACCATCCGCACGTCTGATTGCAGATTGGATTGTTGTGCTCCACTGGACTTCATTGACTGATTTTTGGGAGTAGGTTGCCAGACCTTTCTTTACAATCCAAGCCGCCTTCGTTTGGGAGCTCCTTTGAAGCCTGTTAAGCATCAGTGCAACACTGAAACTTCCACGGACAGACAGCTGTTGGCCAGAAATTAAAACTACTCGGCAGGTGAGAAGTCTACCACTGCACGGCCACTCTGCCACACAGATAACACAGCCTATTGAAGGTCCAAGCACAGTGGGAACATGCAGTCAATTAATTAAACCATGATGAGCTTTGAGTCTTTGTTACCTTTGATTTTACGTAATTTAATGGTAAGTTTATATAACTGGCTCAAAACATGACAATTGCCTCTTACCACGAGCTTTCCCCCATGCGCTTCTGAATGATAATGACTATCATACCTGCGAAAGCTCTGAGACTTGTGGTCACTCTTGTTCATGACCTCTAGTTGCCTCTACTTGCTGTTGATTGTCAGCTGCCTTCACTTACCGCCATACCTGTGAATTCTCAGTTCCTTGTACCCAGACCCCACGTTTGTGCCTTGTCCCTAGGTTCCTTCCCCTTTAGTCTGGTCAGCCAGGCTTTTTAAAAATCTTTTTGACTTTCAACTCCTCTGTGGGATGAAATAGTACTAATTGGGGGAGAAGACAATGTGTATTATGGAAAGTTGTGCTCTGGGGTCTGAATGCAGAGAAATATTGCATTTCTTCTTAGGAAGGCACTTGGACAATTCATCCCCCAAATGCACAGAAATCTTTCTTGCCAACTTCAATTGTCCAACCAGTGATAAATGATCACCACTAGCTTGTGCAAGCCAAACAAAGCCTGAGCTCAGCAGCATATGCGGCATCATCAGGGATGGAGAGTTTACAATCCTTTGAAACTCTGAAGATTTTCACTTCACAAAATTATCAAATGAATTAAAGGACCAAGCAAAAGATGAAGGATTACTAAGGCAGGAATACATGTCGGGCAAGTTAGTCCTAGACCCAGACTTTGCTAGTTGGCACATCTGTCCCTAAGTCTTTATCCCAGGGAAATCTGCTTGAAAGAATCAGGTGTCTGAAGGTTTTTTCAGGGAGGGGGCCCCACTAGCAGACAGACCTGTCCCTTGTTTTGTGTTTACAGAATGAGGAGAAAGAAGGGAGACAAGCAAATTATGGAAGCCGGGGATGCATGCTGGAAAGGACCGAGACTTTGGAGGCAAACTGACTTGATTCAAGTTCAGGCTCTATTATTTTCTACTTGTGTGGCCTGTCATTGTTGTTAAGTGCTGTCGAGTCAATTCTGACTAATAGTGACCCTGAATAGGGTTTCCGAGGAGCAACTGGTGGGTTTGAACTGCCGACCTTGTGGTTCAAGCTGATCTTGTGGTCCAGTGTTTTATCCTACGGTACCACAGCCAAGTTAAATCCTTTCTCTGAGTCTCAGATCTCTTATCTATGGATATAGGAATTTGTTGTTGTTGCTGGTGAGCCGTGGAGTCGGTTCCGATTCATAGTGACCCTGTATAGGGTTTCCAAGGTTGTAAATCTTTACAGGAGCAGAAAACCTCATCTTTTTCTCATGAAATAGCTGGTAGTTTTGAACTGCTAACCTTGAGGTTAGCAGCCCAACTCATAATCACTACACTACCAGAGCTCCTTTGTTGTTGTTAAGTGCTGTCAAGTCAATTCTTACCCATAGTGACCCTGTATGGGATTTCCAAGGAGCAGCTGGGTGAGCTTGAACTGTCAACTTTGTGGTTCAAACTAACTTTGCAGTCCTGCGCATTAACCCACCGCGCTACTCCAGGACTCCGGATATAGGAAAAGTAGTATTTTTAACAGATGCTGTTGGAGCTTCTTCCATATCTATTTAACATTCACTGTTCCTGAGCACTCCCTCCTGGCAATTTCCAGTACCGGCACCTGGAAATCGTTGTCAAAGGGCTTATGGCTTTATCTGAGTATATGTGTACCATAGGCCAGCCATCCTGAGGAGTTAAAGCCCGGGATCAACCCTTAACCCACAGTTGATGGGAACTGGAGGATAAATGCCGCAGCTCCTTACCCTTTGGTGGGATAACTGAGATACGTTCAGCAGGGTAGTGGTGGCGGTGGTGGGGCCGCCCCCTTGTCTCTTTCCCTCCCCAGCTGATGCTTCCTGGCATCCCCTCCCAAATAAAGTTTGACTGGTTTGCGAGGAATCCAACTAAAGAGAAGCATTTATTCCCTAGGGTCGTTGTGAGGTTAAATGAGAAAACATGTAAAATGCTCAGTAAAAAATAAAGTATACACTGAGCTGTGCCTAATGTTGTTGTTGTTAAGTGCCGTCGAGTCGGTTCCAACCCATAGCGACCCTGTACAGGGTTTCTGAGGAGTGACTGGTGAGCTTGAACCACCGACTTCGCAGTTCAAACGGCTTTGCAGTCTGGCGCATTAACCCACAACGCCACACCCTAATAGGAACTGAGTAAAATACTGGTTTTCTCTTCTTCTTTCCTGTCTGTTTCCCAGGAAGAATCCCACCAGTAGAAACCTCTTGCTTTTGTCTGGCAGCCAGGAGAGCTGTCTGCAGAGGAAATGGGCGAGTGGCTATCTGCAAGGCTGTCTCACCCAGGCTCTGGATCCTGAGCCTCAGTAGGGCGTGAAACTCCCCGCCCACGGGGTACAAGTGGAGCCTTGGGGAGTTCTTTTGGGGGTTAAACAGACTCAAGGATTAATTAGCTAATGCCTGTGAAGTGCCTCAGAAATGTCAAGTGCAGAGTGTTAAGTACCATTACTTGAGATGGATGGTTCCCCTCTTTAAGCCCTCCATGAAAGATGTGTCAGTTACCACATTCTGGAGGAGCACTGCTGAGTCTCCAGTTGGGGATCTTAACCAGGCAAATATGGACAGTCCCCATTAGGCTCCCAGAGAAGAGCTCATAGCGCCTCCCCAGGCCCAGCTGGCAGGGGTCTCGGGAGGACTGTGGACTGGTGTCTCCTTCAAGAGACCCCCTTGCGAATTCTGCTGTCCAGCAGCTCTGGTGTCTATACTAACACCCTGGTGTAAACTATTCCAGGGCCCTCAACCCAACACAGTCAATTCCTGAGATTACTCACTGGTCTGGAATGGATCATCTGACCAGGGCCTCAGTCTGAAATCATTTCTTTCTTTCTAGACCTGTTCCTTCTCCTCCTCTGAGGCTGGTGTCACTACCCTCCCTGACATTTCAGGTGTCTCTTTACCTCCAGTGTTTAATCCCCTATCAAATTTCCTTCTCTCCATCCATTCTAACATCCATCTCCTCCTGTCCACTCCCAGGGCTTCTGCTTTGCTTAGGGAGTCATCTTCTTCCCTGTTTCTGCTTTAAGTCTCCCAACCACTCTTTCAGGCTCCAGTCTGCTCTCTAGGCAGCCAGTCAGCAGAGGATTGTTCTGAAACTCAGTTCTGATGGAATCTCTTCCTCATGAACATTCAATGGCTCCCTAGTGCTTTTAGACTAAATTCCAAATTCTTCTGTCTGCTCAGGGGCCATCGGGATGGGGCCCAAAGTAACCTCTCTTACCTTATTTTTAACTCACTATTTTTATGTTCCTACTCTTCCAGTCACTTTGAGTTTGTTTGGCCAATTCTTTCCGCACAAACCCCCTTCTTCCCCTGGAGGCATCTTTTTAGAGGCTGGGGGATGGCTGCCCCTTCCCTCTACATGAATGAGCCTTTTCCTGTTTCAGAGAAAAAAAATAAAATATCTCCTTTCTACTCTCACCTTCATGACAATTTGATCCTTGTCCTGAGCGGGTTATTGAGGTACTTTTGATTTAGTTTCCTAGTAACGAGTAGGGAGTTGGTCTCGTGTCTCTTGCTCCAATAGAGAGTATAGCTGCATTTAGCTCCATGACCATAATTGAATACACATCAGTTTTTTTTTTTAGCCTATTGGGCAGTTAAGGCCTATTGATAGGTTTTATTTGATCTGCCAATGTTTAAAAGAAACAGAGTTAGCGTTTTAAAATTGTGAGACTTTGTACAGAATTTCAGATTTTTGGTTTCCTTTTAAAAATTAAGAATCCCTCACAAGACTGGTCTGTCTCATTCCTCAATGGCAGCAACTGAGTAGGGCTGACAGGGATACTTGGCCACACTGTGCCATAGATAGACACCACTGGGTGCCCTTCACTCTTTACTTCCCTGGCTCAATATCAATGATCAATATTGTGGTGGACCCACAGGCTCTTCTGAGACACTAGCCACAGAAAACTGTAGGAATCGCAGCAGAAACAATAGACAAGATCAGCACCATGCCCTGGAACATCTGTACTGTAATCATAGATCGGCCAACACGGAAAAACTCTACAGAGCCTTGCTCCCTTCTAGCAGAACTGGCAGCCGGAGAGGGAAAGGGACTTGCCCAAGGCCACCCAGTGAGTTGATAGCAAAATCAGGACCAAACCCAGGTTTCTGTGTCCACAGCTGGACTCGTCCCCTGTTGCGGGCACTGATTGTTACTTTCTTTCCTTTGTGTCTCTCACTGCACAGCCATGGTTCTAGTGCAGACTGGTGTCCACACGGGGCTGGGGTGGGGTGGGGTGGGGTGTGGGGGTACGGCTGAGGATAAAGGGGAGGCCCGCACCACTCAGGATAAAGCCTGAATGCAGCGAAGTTCAAAAGCTACCGGGCACTGAACGAATTAAGTCATGCCTGTCTCCCGTTGCCTGGGTACTCTTTATGCAGTGCAAAATACCATTGTTCAGCCATAGCCAGGGGCCAGGAGAGGGACTGTCTTTGCAGGTAGGAATCAGCAATGGCCTAGCCGGAAAAGAAGGAGCAGGAGAGGTTGGAATATCCCAGCTTGAAAACAGCAGCTGTATCATACAGCCCATCTTGTTTGTCCCCGGACTCTGCTGTCCTGTCTCCCCTCCTCAGAATAGCAGCATGAATCAGTGCACTGCGGCACCCGTCCAGGAGATGTGACTTGCATCCCCAACATCTACCTGATTGCCGTGTCTGTGTGCGCAAGGCGCGGGATGTGCCTGGCATACCAAACTACCGCCTGGGTGCTGCAGCTGCCAGCCACGGAGATCCTGCCCCGCCTGGCCCTGCGATGGAGCCTGGAGTCCGTCAAGGCCACAGCCGCCCTTTGATTTGTCCAGGGGCTCTGGGACAAGCCCTGAGATTCTGTGGCTGCTTTTGACCGGGGGCCCTCAGCCTGTCTCAGAAATGCCCTGACAAGTCCCTCCGCCCCAGCAGACAAAGGCTTGCGAGGAGAGGAATTGCACAAGATTCAGCCGCTGCTGTTTCTAATATGTTATTTTGACACACAATTAACTGCAAAATTTGCTCCAAGCGAGGAACCCTGGCCCTTGCAGAGTCTGTGGCTGGGACTCAGCCCAGCCTTCTTCAGGCAGAATTTGGTCCTGTGGACACCTCATCTTCCCAAAGACCCCAGGGTTGCCTGTTACCCACAAGACCACCACTCTCAGGTCAGGCTGGGCCCCCAAACCATCGCCTGCCCAAGACCTTCGGGGCCAGGGATCTGGAGGGGGGCTTGCACAAAACCTCTTAACAGAGCACACCAAAACACAATCCTTCCTAAAATGGTGGCGCTTATCCTCTGCTGACAAAAGCCTGATTTGTGCTTTCCCTGGAGGTGGGATGCAGCAAACACACTGCCTTTTATCTCCCGGGCGCTTTGAGGGGGAGACAAGAGGTGCGGAGCGTGGTGGGGAGCCCTGGAGAAGGCGCTCGAAATGAAAGGCATAATCTCTGGCTTCCCCAAACTAAGAGGGGCGGTGGGCTTTGATCCCCTCGCCTGGCAGCTCCCCCCATCCTGGAGGTGTCTGAATGGGAGCGGGGAGCTCTGAGGGAGAGGCCCCACTACCGCACAATGCCACACAATATTGCCTCTCCCCGGGACCCCAAAGGAGGCCTGCACATCCGGCGTCTCACTTTGAAACCAATCCTCCAATCAGCTATTTAAATAAGAAATATAATCTCATTGAACGCTGAGAGCTATTGGTCTGAGACGATTCCATTTACAAGGCACTTGAAGAAAGTCCCCAAGCCCTCAGTTTATCAGGGACAGACAGCTTAGGACTATTTACTGGGGAGAGGGAGAAGAAGGGGAGGGGGAAGAATTGAAGCTGGCCTTTAGAGATCCAGGCTGTTAGCAGCTTAAGGGGGGCGGGGGGTGGGGGATGCCCACATTCCACTCGCTGGTGTTCTATGCACTATGCAGGGAGTGGGAGAAAGCGGGGGTTCTCAGACACTTTCCTTACAGCCTGGAGGGTGCTCTGTAAAATGGCGGTTTGTAGAGGGGGTGTAGGGGAGGTGCTGTTGCCAAGGTGATTCCTGGCCCTCTAAAGCTATGTGTGACATTCACATCTTCTTGAGCACCTACTAAGTTCATTGTCACAACAGTGCTTTTGATCATTGCTAAGATGCAGTGGACAAAATCTCCCCAAAAGAACATCCTGGCAAAGAGAAGGGTAGGCGAGAGAATGCTGTACTTAGTTGATCGAGCCTCTCATGCCCTGAATTCCTGGTTCTGCCTCGGGCACCCAGGCAAAAAGCCCAAATTTCTGGGCTTACCTCCCCTGAGGATTTTAGCTGCAGAGCTTAACCCTGATATCCTGTGACTCCCTCTAGTGGTCCATGGTGTGGGTCCTGGAGTCACTTCCCTAGTGGGGGTCCTGCCCTCTAGTTTTCTGATTCGTGTGTGACAGACTATCATCCAGAGCCTCAGTTTTCTTCTGCAAAGTGGGTAATGGCTGATTGAGATGAAGTATGGTGTGGTTGTTAAGTGCTTTAGAGTCAATTCCGACCCATAGCAACCCTATACAGGGTTCCCAAGGAGCAGCTGGTGAGCTTGAACCGCCGACCTTGCAGTTCATATGACTTTACAGTCTAACGTATTAGCCCACAGCGGTCTAGCTAGTCCTTGACACCGTGTTGGAACTGTGACCCCATAAAGAATGGTTATTGTCATTGTGTTGGAGTCCTGGTGAGGTGCTGCTGGTTCATGCACTGGACCACAAGGTTGGTTTGAGCGGCAACCTCAGCGGTTCAAACTCACCAGCTGCTCCTCAGAAACTCTATACAAGCTTTTATGAGTCGGAACCTATTCAACGGTGCTTATCAACAACAACAACAACAGCAATAGGATTTTCTGTCCCCGCTCATGACTTTGACCCACTGCCCTGACCATTCAGTCTGGGTCCACCCTGGCTGGGTTCTGGTGCACCTTTTATGGTCAGCAGCTCCACCCCCCACATCACCCATCCAGTTCGACCCAATTCCACCCATTTTGTCATGCTACGACTCCACGGCACACAACAACAACAACAACCTTCAAAATATACAGTGTAAATGGTCTTTCTTTTGAGGGTTGAGGAAGAGGAATTGTCAGGTAGAGCTGGGAGACTGCCTGGAGGAGGTGTGAATTGAACAGGGCCTTCCATGGTGGAAAGGATTCGTAGTCCATGGTGGAAAGGATTCGTAGCCCATGGTGGAAAGGATTCGTAGCCCATGGTGGAAAGGATTCGTAGCCCATGGTGGAAAGGATTCGTAGCCTCTGGTGGAAAGGATTCGTAGCCCCTGGTGGAAAGGATTCGTAGCCCATGGTGGAAAGGATTCGTGACGCAAAGGAACAAGGAGAGTTCAGAGTAAGGCTTGGAAGGAAGAAGGAACAGAGAGGAAGGGTGGAGGAGCCACCCTGGAGGGATGGGTGGGGGTCTACTATGAAAAAGAAGAGAGAAACTATGGAGGTGACTTGAAGCCTGCCCATCCTTTTCTATTGCTTTTACCCATCTAAGAATCATTGGTTGGTAGAGGAGAAATTTAGCTTTGATGGGACCAGAATGTAAGAAACCTTTCTGGGAAAGGCTTACAACAAATGGGCTTGGGGTAGACGTGTCAAAGCAGAAACAAAAAAACCCTGAGGGGTTCTGGAAGTTATTAAGGAGACCTACACCCTCAGTTCAAGGAGCTCTGGTAGTGTAGTGGTTCCGAATCAGGCTGTGAACTGCAAGGTCAGCAGTTTGAAACTACCAGCTGTTCCGCGGGAGAAAGACCAGGCTTTCTGCTCCTATAAAGATTTACAGCCTCGGAAATCCTGTACAGAGTTGCTGAGTTGGAACCCACTCCATGGCACATAACAACAACAACAACAACAACACCCTCAGTTCAGAGATGAAGAACTGAGGACCAGAGAGGGCAGGAGTCTTACTTGAGGTCATGCAGCCAATCAGCAGTAGGGCAGGATCTGAATCCAGGTGGCTCGTTTACCTGCTTCTTTCCTCTCTTATGAAAGCCAGCTCTAGTTAAACACTGTTTTAAGCTCTTTGTATGTATTTCTGCATTGAATCCTATAACAACTCTATAAAATGATTATTGCTGTTGTTGTTAGGTGTTGTTGAGTCGATACTGACTCATAGAAACGTATGTACAACATGGCCCCATCCTACATCACCCCACAATCGTTGTTAAGCTTGACCGCATTGTTGCTGCCACTGTGTTAATCCATCTCATTGGGGGTGTTCCTCTTGTTTGCTGACCCTCCCCTTTACCCAGCATGATATCTCTCTCCAGGGACAATACATCTGAAGTATGAGAGATGAAGTCTCATCATCTTGGCTTCCTAGGAGCATTCTGGTTGCATTTCTTCTATTAGTCCATGGTACTTTTAATACTCTCCTCCAACATCATAACTCAAATGCATCAATTTTTCTACGGTATTCACTGTCCAACTCTTACAAACATATGAGGTGATAGAAAATACCATGGCTTAGGTTAGGCACCCTTTAGTCCTCAAACTGACATCTTTGTTCTTCAACACTTTAAAGAGGTTATATGCAGCAGATTTGCCTAATGCACTACATTGTTTGATTTCTTGATACTGTTTCTATGAGTGTTGATAGTGGAACCAAGTAAAAGGAAGTCTTTGACAACTTCAATCTTTTCTCCATTTGTATGGATGTTGTTAATTGGACTGCTGCTGAGGACTTTTGTTTTCTTTATATTGAGGTGCAACCTATACTAAGGGCTGTGATCTTTCATCCTCATCAATAAACATGTAAGTCCTCTTTGGTTTCTACAAACAAGGTTGTATCATCTGCATATTGCTGACTGTTTATGAGTTTTACTCCAATCCCGATACCATGTTCTTCTTCATATAGTCCAGCTTTGCAGATTATTTGCTCAGCATACAGATAAAAACAATGCTGGAGATTGCATGATAGAATTTTGCAAGACCACTGACCCATAGTGACCCTGTAGAGGGTTTCCAAGGAGCGACTGGTGAGCTTGAACCACTAACCTTGCAGTTCAAACCGACTTTGCAGTCTAGTGCATGAACCTGCAAATTCTGTGTTTGTTTGTTTGTTTTAACATCATAAAGGGCAAATATGGCTCCAAATGATAAGCACTGAACTGTGAACCTTAGGGTCTACAGTTCGAGTCCACCAGCCACTCTGAGAGAAAAAGATGAGGCTTTCTGCTCCTGTAAAGATTTACAAGTCTTGTAGACCCTGCACAAGGTTGTTATGAGCCAAAACTGACTCAGCAACACTTAACAACAACAACATATACAGATGCACAGATTTCAACAGATGGGATATACAAGAATGAAACTGACTACATCTGTGGGATGATATGGTGGAGAAACTCAATATTGTTGGTCAAAATAAGGCTGGGAACAGCTAGTGGAACAGACTATCAGTTGCAAGTTTGATCTGAGGATGGAGAAAATTACAAGTCCATGAAAGTCAAAATATGACCTTGAATACTTGCCACCTGAATTTAGAGACCATCTCAGGAATAGATTTGATGCATTAGACACTGATGACTGAAGACCAGAAGAGTTGTGGGATGACATCAAGAACATCATATAGGCAGAAAGCAAAAGGTTATTAAAAAGACAGGAAAGAAAGAAAAGACCAAAGTGGATTCAGACGGGACTCTAAAACTTGTTCTTGAGCACAGAGATGCTAAAGCAACTGGAGGAAGATAGAGGAAGTAAAAGAACTGAACAAAAAATTTCAAAGGGCAGCTCGAGAAGACAAAGTCAAATATTATAATGAAATGTGCAAAGACCTGCCTGGAGTTAGATTGCAAAAAGGGAAGAGCACACTCAGCATTTCTCAAG